GGTTTTATATTTGTTGAAGATAATTGTGTTGCGTCTTGGGCCCTTTTGTTTTACAACCGGATTGGGCTTGTCAATCCGTGTTTAACTAGATTAGCCTTCTTTTTCTTAGAAAAACTGTTAGGGTTTCATTATAAATATATGGATGCATGTATGCGTATAGTAACGGTCGTCACTCTCATTGAATATTGTAAACCCTAAAATCCTCTACAGTTGATGTTCTTGATCGAGCTCTTCTGAGGATTGTTTATTGAATCATTCGACACCTTTTGATCCATTAGCTTGTTCTTAATTGTTTATCTAGTCATTTATCTACCTGTTTCATAGATCTAATCGATCTTTAAGTTTGTTTTAAACTCATCACTTGGTATCAGAGCAGGAGGCTGTGTAATCGATACACTTCTTTTCTGTGAAAAAAATTCGATTAGGGTTATTCTGCATTCATTGATATTTATTGAGCCGTCATCTCATAATTGACGTATCTCAATATTTATTATTTTTGCCCTAATTTGATATATTACAAGTCTGATCTTTGAACAGGTTATTCGATCAATTATGGACGAGTCGCAATCCAATCCCATCAATATTTCAAACAGCATTGGATCAACAACGAAGATTCCCATCCTGTACACCCATGATTATGAAGTCTGGGCGAATCACTTTGAAGATTATGTCATAGGATCTGAGGATAATGGATACCTCATCTGGGAAGCAATTATCTCTGGACCGTTTTCTCATTCAGCAACTTCAAGGATTATTAAAACTCAAAAGGAGTATAATGATCTTCTGAAAGATGTTAAAGATGTAGCGCAAGACGAAAAAGTTAAATTTCAGTGCAATATCAAAGCGCTAAGATTGATTAGATTTGCTCTTCAATCCGATACCTTTAGGCTGGTAAGTTCATGCACGACTGCTAAAGAGATATGGGACAAGCTACGTGAATTGTACTCTACAGATGAAGATCTTGAACACTCCATTCAAACCTTACTCTTGTCTGAGTTTGGTGAGTTCAAGCAAGGAACAGAAGAAACGGTGACTCAAACGTTCGATCGCTTCAATCATCTTCTTAGCAAGATGATCAAACATGACATCGAAAGGAAGCTTATTGAACAGAAGGTTACATTTTTAAATGGACTCAGGTCTGAGTGGAGAGCAATCGTGTCCACCGTTAAAGCACACGAGCAATTCAAATCCTATTCTTTGGCGAAACTGGTGGGCATCCTAAAATCTCAAGAAAAGATCGTACTGCAGGAGAAGACCGTGGTTTCAAGTCTAGGTTCATTTGCCCTCCTGTCGAAAAGCAAAGTTGTGATAGAGGACGAAGATCTCAACTTGGATGATTATGATCTCACGTCTGAAGACTATGCTATGATGGTGTCAAACCCTAAGAGATTCATCAAGTAGAGATTCCCCACCAATAGGAACCGAAACTGGCAAGGAAGCTATAGCACTGAAAAGGTCAAAGATGAACCGAAAGCTGAAGAAGCAAAGAAGGAACCGAAGGCTGAAGGAGATTCTGGAGTGAGCTGCTATTATTGTGGAGGAAAGAACCACTATGCAAAAGATTGCGTCCTCAAAAAGATGGCAGAAAAGGATGAAGAAAATGATGAAGAAGCTGTGTTGATGAAAAAGCTTGATGAGTTAAGGAAGAAGAAATCTGCTGCTAACCCTTCCATGAATGCTTTGATTGTGCAGGGTTCGGTAGCTGATGATGAGTTCGGTGGCGTGGAGGTTTGGTCAACCGACTCTGAAGATGATGAAGTGAGGAAGCCTTCACATGGAAAGGCCTATGTAGCGAAAGAAGAGAGCAGTGGAGGAAGATGCTTGATGGTGTCCGACGTTTCTCAGATGAGGGGATACAACACTGATGGTGGGAATGATGACAAAGAACAGCAGAATCTGTGCTTTACTGCCAAACCACTCAGCGAGCAGTTCAGCGAACTTGATGAACTGATCAAGAAGGTACAATCAGTTTTTGTCTCATTTAAAGTCCCACAATGCTCATATGAAAAGGAATTAAAAAGTGTTAATTCAAGAATCTCTCATCTAGATAGTAGTTTAACTCAAACTCGGTCACCAATTCTAACCTAACTGATCAATTAAGCAGGGTGTCTTCGAAGAGTGAGGAACGGCGGATGTGGATCGAACTGAAGGAGTCGGAGTTAATCAAAATAAAAGATGAAAACATTTATTTGCAAAGAGACAATTTAAAGCTTTTGAAACAGCGAAATGTTTTTTGTCTGATTGCCAAACGTCTTTATACTAATATTACTCAGCTTCATTTGAATTGTGAAATAGGGCAAAAGATTCATCGCATGATTTTACCCTTTCTTGAGTTTAAGGAAGATGAAATTGATGCTGATGCATATAATTGTGAGAGTATTATTTCGTCTGAGGATGTTAATCCAACATATTTGTATGGACTGGACAAAATTGAATCTTTCATAAAATCCAAGGACCACAAGAATATGCTCAAAAATCTTTTGGATGAAAATGATAAACTGAAGCTAAGAACCGAAACCATACAAAAATTTGACTCACTGAATGTCAACTTAAGCTCGGAAAATAAAATTGATGTTGAAAATGCATCTGAGCTTAATGAGGACGATAATATGAGTGAAATTTCTGTAGAGGACACAGTTGATTGTTCAGAATTTGTCAAGAATGAACCCGAGAACCACAAAAATCTCATCTCAGAAATTCTGTGGAATTCGCTGGTTGTCCCAACAAAAGTCCCCGATTCTTGTAGAGAAGGCAGTCGTATACCAAAAAGTTAGAACCACTCCGAATCAGGTGTACAAAGTCACAGGTGTAACCGAACATCAGACTGCTGAACTAACAGCTATTGTGAACGAAGACAATGCTGATGGCTGTGACGAGTTCTTCTGGTCGGCTCCCATTGACAATGCTGATGAAACGGTAGGTCTGTCTGAAAGGACTTCATGGAAAAGCAAAGGCAGATACGTACCAGAACCTTTAAATAAACCTGATGCTTCAACGTGGCAAGTACCAGTGGAACAAAAGATGTCCCTCAAGAGAAAGAAATTCCTGCAAAAGAAGTCACATCTCCAAGTGAAACAACATCGGTTCAGAGTGGATCAACCAATGAAAATCAAAAACATAAACCTAACATCCATCATCAACCAAAGCAGATGAGAAGTCAAAAACGGGAAAGGAATTAGAGATACAGGAAGAATCTCTCAGAAAGAAAACAATTTTGGCAATCGCAAAATGCCTATTTCTCACATCAAGACAGGAATTTAAAACCAGCGAAAAATCCTGTTAGATCGACGGAGAGAAACGACAACCAAAAGCAGAGTCTCGGTTCTGAGCAGAACAACAACCGAAAGCAGAGGTTCGGTTCAGAGCACAATGACAACCGAAAGCAGAGGTTCGGTTCAGAGCACAATGAAAACCGAAAGCTGAGGCTCGGTTCTGAGCAAAACAACAACCAAAAGCAGAGGTTCGGCTCAGAGCATAACAACAACCGAACGCATAGATTCGGTTCAGAGAATGATTTCAACCGAAAGCACAGGTTTGGTTCGGGAATCAAAAGAGATCAAAACTCTAAAGTTGGTCCTACCGTTAATCAAAAGCAAAAGAGTCACCAAGAATCTTCAATCAAGAAGTCATATTGTTCTGAGCTATCTCATTCTAACTCTACTAACTCTTCAAAATCCTCTGTCTCTTCTCGTCCTAAAGTCCACTCTGTTTCTTCTCAAAAATCTCAGTCATCAGCTGAACAAAAAGGAAAACAGAAGGTTTCAGATTGAATCAGAATCAATACCAAAACCATTAAATCCAAATAAAATCAAAGTTTTCACCATCAAAAGGAAAGATGAAACAACACTAATAAAAAGAATATATGTAGTTGACATCTCTCTTACTATTCCAGTAAAAAGCTCACGTGGACCCAAGAAGCTCTGGGTTCCTAAATCTGCTTAATTTTTGCAGGTTATCAGTGACGAGCAGTATGACGAAGAATGGTACATTGATAGTGGTTGCTCGCGTCACATGACAGGGAGGAAAGAAGAGCTAAGGGAATTCAGATCTCTTTCAAATGGTGGAAATGTCAAATTTGGGAACAATTCCTTCGGAACCATCAAAGGCTACGGGATGATTACAAACGGTGATTTCTCAATCAGGAAAGTTGCATATGTAGAGGGACTACAACACAATCTCATCAGTGTATCTCAGCTTGTTGGAGGTACTGGTCTCAAGGTCTCATTCGATGATGAAGGTTCGGAAATTATTGAGAAGAAGACGAACAAAGTTATTCTCAAATCAGAGCGCAAAGGTGAAATGTTTCCCCTAAATCTCAAACCAATCAAAGGAAACCCAGCCATCTGCCTATTATCCAAAGCACAATCTGACGAAAGCTGGCTATGGCACCGAAGACTCTCTCATCTCAACTTCAAAGATATCAACAAACTTGTCACTGGAGGTCATGTGAGGGGTCTCCCATTGCTCAAGTATGACAGAGATCATCTGTGTGCTGCATGTGAAATGGGGAAGCAGAGTCGTCAAAGTCATCCATCTATAATAAACACTAAAGTCGTTGAACCACTAGAATTACTTCATATTGATTTATGTGGTCCATCTTCTATAGAAAGCATGGTGGTAGCAAGTATATTCTTGTTATTGTTGATGACTTTTCACGTTTTACATGGGTGTTCTTTCTGAAGCTTAAATCTGAAGCGACTCACAAGCTAAAAGTGTTCATCAAGCAGATTGAAGTACAGCTGAAGAAGGTCGTTCGCAACATCAGAAGCGACAATGGGTTGGAGTTCAAAAATAAAGATTTGAAGAATTCCTGGAAGAAAAGGGGATCAGTCACAACTTCTCAGCTCCCTACACACCTCAACAGAACGGAATTGTCGAAAGACGAAACCGA